CTGCTCTTTTATCATATAAACTAATTTTTATCTAATTTTAGCCATAAGCTATTGACTATAAACTCGAAATTCGCTTAAAACCTATAAGCTAAGTTATCAATTAAGTTTACCGAACATAGCCATAATGATTTCACCAATTTATTTATAGGTTTAGATTGCTTTTAAATGCCTGTCATTTGTCGTTCTTTTGCAATTATTTATCATGTCAACTGCACTCTCTAATCTATTATCCTTATATTTTTAGCTATAAAAATGTGAAATAAGATATGGATTTTAATGCTTTGATCTATTTGTTTGTTAAAGAGAAGGTAAAAAATTAAGTTAAGAAAAAAGACTAATGGGAGGTAATTTTGGAAGTATTCATAAGATTGGATATAGATAGAAATGATTTTGGTGGGTGAAATCAGGAAAAAGAGTAAAGGAAAGTTTTCTAAAAGACTTTAAAGATTTACATATGAGGACATGTGAAATGGTACAAACTAAAAAGGAATTCACATATATGTTAATGTAAAAGCTGAGAATGAGAAGGTTTGACCTATCCAAACCGTAGGATCATGGATGTGTATAGATCAAACGGTTAAGAAAGTACAATCGGTCAAAAGGGTATGCGTACAAACAATTAGAGGATAGAAAGTGAACGAGAAAATGAATTGAAGAAAATCTGACTTCATGCCTATTTATGACTTTCTTTCTTTATGCACACACAAATTTAGCAGCATTGAGATGAACTTTTCGCAAGCAATAAAAACAAATTTCTAAGATTGGGAACCAGGCTGCTAAATCCCGAATGAAAAGACTCCAAGGAAATAAACGAATATGATTAACCCCAAGGCACTTGAAAATGCCCCAAAGCACTTGAAAATGCCCCAAGGCCAAAATAAACGAATATGATTAGCCCCAAGGCACTTGAAAATCACGGTTTTTAGTTAAAAAACACACAGCATAAAACTAATTTTTCCAAATAATTTTATGAGGCCTACAACGAAATATTCAGAGGCATACAACAAAATATTCAGAGGCCTAAAACATAACATCTCAAGAACATTCTCAACAAATTCAGGAGACCCGAAAAGTCGAACCTTAAGCACAATGATATTCTCCAATTTTTCTAACGAATTTAAGGGAGATAAACGATGCTCACAAATGACTTCAAGGCAATTATCCGGCCATTTAAAATTCTAAGAAAAAAAACAATCACCAAGTTTCAGAGGTTATACTACGTCTTTCGAGAATCCAACATCAACTCATCAAAAATCAATTAACGTGCTTTTATTCTCAAGTCCAATAAAAATCTCTACCTCATGAACGTTAGCCCTATGATAAATCCTTCACAAATCATCTCTGAATATTAAAAGGAGGTTAAGCCATATACCTCCTTCGGGGAATTAATTGAGATGGCTGAAGGAGTTCGGATAAAGGGTCTCGGTTCTCCCAGCTGCTATCACTCACACGCGGCTCCCGGTTCACGGCTCTCGCTGCTGCTCATGGAAAATCGGCCGGCAATGGATTCCCAACAGTTGCTGCTCGATGGGACGAAATCGGGCGACTGAGTAGGATTGACGGGACTCCGGGCGGACTGCTGCGAATAGGAGGAACCGGCGTGGCTCGTCGGTAGAAGGTCACCGGCGAAGTACTTCCCTCGACGAGGGCTGACGAACGATCGGGGCCTGCTACTCGCTGGTTTGGATGTCTACTCAATTCACGCAACAATCGGTGTTGAAGGAAGGTCTCCGGTGAAGGGTTGCTGCTCGTCGGTCAAAGCACGAGTCGGCTGACAAAGGCGCTGTTATGGTGAACCGCCGGCAAAGAATGACGGGTCGCTTGTTTGCTCAGATTTAAAAAAAAAAAAAAAATTGTTCAATTTATCATCAAAGGCTTTGACGATTTATATGTTGAAGGAATTTGGAAAATTATTGGGAATTATCGCTGCTCTTATCTGGTTGAGAGAGGGAGATTGGGAGAAGGTGACCAAAGGGCAGTGATTTGAAGGAAGAGAAGATGGAGTTCTACTCGATGTAGTGGCGTGAAATAGGTGTAAGGGCTGAAAATATTTTAAGTTTTAACTCTTGGGCTGAGACTCTATTGCAATTGGGCCAAAAAATTCTTAATGGACTAAAACAAATACTAAGGCTCGCGGCGGATTTAAAAGAAATAAAGACATTCTTTATCCCTTGTGAAAAACTGTTTACCTTAATGCATCTATATCTATATAAATATAACAAGGTTTGGTATTTACCTGAAATAGAAGGAAAAATCCTGCCTAAATAATTCGTTTTTACCTTTCATCGTAAATTTTCTTAAAAAATTTTGAAAATGGGCGGCAACTTTTGCCGCATATCAAAAAAATTTGGGTGTGAGGAATAAATTGAAAAACAAAAAGTTCATGTCAAAGGTATCCGACTGGGTGTAATTTAAAAAAGAAAATAAAATTCAAGAGAAAGGGCTAACTCCGAATCAGGTGATTAGCTTTCAACCTTTCTGAAATCTGGCATCCACCGGTTTGAAAACGCCAACGCCTGCTTCATCGGTCCCGCTCCAGAGATTTTGGGTGAGAATTGAATTTTTATAGATCGAATTGGGGTTGAGATGAGTTTTGTTGTGGGATGGAAATTTGGATGTTTAGTGGTGTGGAAGTGCTTGATTGTTAGTTTTTGTATGTTGGTCATTCTGCTACAAATTCTTTGAAATACTTTTCTGGTAAAATAGAAACAATAAGTGTATTTATGATTCGTTGTGGCGTAGGCGACACCGATCTCCATCTTCGTCTTCGGCTGTTGCTTCGGCCTTTTCGAGCTAGGGATTGAATTCCATTCGAGATCTTGGACCGATTGTTTGGCTTGACATATTGTTGATATTATTTTTGTTGATGAGAAGTTGTTTTGATGTTGTTCAATTGTTGTAATGGTGTTTTTTTTATTGTTGTGGAATTCACAAACTCATATATTTGTTATAAAACTAAACTAATATTTTATTGTTGGCAGAAATTGTTTTGATGTTGTTTGACTGGTTTTTATATCGTTTTTTGTTGTTATGACACCTACTATTTTATTCGTTGTTTTCTGTAAACTACATAATAAATTTTTTTACGTTAAAATAGCAAACTTTTGTGTTACTTCTTGATTAATTGATGTATATAATCTATTTATCAATAAATAATCAGACAAGATTACAATTAAATATTTGAAAGGAAAAAATAGCCATCGTCGTTAAAACCAATGCTAAATTGGAAATTATAAATAGTTATAAATTGAAAATTATAAATAGTTATTATGCAAATTATCAAGTTATTATTCAATCTCTATAAAGAATCTTGGTACAATTCTTTTTTTCCTTAAAATAAATAAATAAATCAGTATTTTAAACAAAAAAATAAAACATAAAATGAACAATTATTATTTTTTAGGACATTGAATAGTTTTACTACCTATCCAATAATTTGTTAATAATATTATTGTTACATTTAGTTTTTTTTATTGCAAACACTAAATTATATATATATATATATATATAATGTGCACAGTTCTCTTTTTATATAATTTTTAGAATCACTTCCTTGTGAAAAATAAATAATTAAAATTAAGAAACCGCATAGTATGTTTAAAAAAGATAAAATCAGATGTTTAGTTTGTTAATAGAAAGGGTGGTTAATTTGTACCAAAAAAAAAAAAAGAAAGGGTGGTTAATGGAGAGAGAAAGAGGGTAAGAGCTTCGGGAAGTTAAATTATTGTGGATTCTGTTGCAGTTACATGATCGCTGTAATATGAGATTAATTAGCGTAATGTTGGAATTCTACAGCACCTAGCACTTCTTAAGAATTCAAATTCAATGAGGGTGTAGTTATGGATTTTCGCCGTAAAACAAATACTAAGGCTAAATTGGCCCATTTTGATCTTGCGATCCAAATCCAAACTACAAAAAAGTTTTTAACAATTCAAAACTTAAGAAATCATACTAGAAATAACGTGCACAACATAACATCACTTTATATAGCGCTGGTCCAAATAATGCCACGGATTAATCTTAGCGTATGATCTGATAATTAACTAATCTATTTAACTTCAAGCGTGCTTCGACTTTCTTTCTTTACATATTAATTAAGCTTCTTTTTGTTTGTAATATTCATATGATTCCGTTGGATTACCACAAAACATAAACAAAACAGAATCTTTGGCTTAAATTAATTAGCAACTAATTAAATCTGTTCATGTACTCAATTAATTTTCATATTAATTCCAAGATTTTCTTGTGTTTCCACCCAGACAAAACACTAATCAGAAGGGAATTTAAAATTATTGAACTGAAAATGAGAACCCTTTTGCTTCCACATTATAATAATTAATTACCCAGGGGGAACTAAAGTAACATCAAGCCGTATACATAATTTGTTATGACTAATAGATAAAGTAATCCAAGTATCTTATCAATCTAATAAAAATAAATAATTATTTATCTAAATTCTAAAATTATATATAAAATTTAAATTCTAAAATTATATATAAAATTAAAAAACTGTAAAGCACGACGGATAAGGTATTAGACATCTAATTAAACAAAAAATTAATATATTTTACTTAATATTAAACAAACATATTCTGCACCTATGCATATGCATTATCACCATATTTTTTATTTATTTAAGGTATATATTTTTTAATTAATAATAATAAATAATATCGATAATTTTATATGATATAAGTAAAAAAATTCAATATGAGTTGACATTTTTATTTAATATACGGGTGTTTAATTATTATAATTAAAAAATATAATTTGATAATTTAATTAAAAGTCAAAATAATGTTTTATATAAAATTAAATTATTTTAGTTTCTAAAAAAAATAAAAAATCTAATATTTTTTACAAAAGTTTTTTAATTCAATACTCATATAATACACGAGTATTATAATAGTATATTGATATTGCAAAATATGTCGAATAATATAGTACAGAAATTAAATAATTGACATTTTCCTGGCCCGTGTTGGTTTTGCACCATCAATATGACTGTATGCGATGAACCTTCAATGGCTGCAATGCTTCGTAAAATTAATGTACCAACAAAAAAGAAAAGAAAAAAAAAAGAAAGAAAGGCTATAAACCCATCCCCATACCAATATGCTATCCCGTCTGCATAATTGCTCCCAAAAATTAAGAAAGCCAAAAATTAAGCAGCCACCACTTGGCGCAGCGAAGCAACCTCAGGCATCATCACCACAGCAGAGCGAATCATATCGGCCACCTCACGCGACAGCAGCGCACCAAGTCCTGTAGCCCAGTCCTTCCCAGCTCAAGTCCGGTCTTTCCCAGCCGAGCCCATTCCGGAGCACATCAGGTACCATGGATCTCAGATTAGGGTTAATATAATTTGGCTTAATTTGGGTGAAATTGTTGATTTGTTCATTGGGCTCTGAATTAAATTGTGACAGATACTTTGAGCATTTGACACAGGTTTGTGTTAAACTTGTTGTTTTTCGGTCGTTTTATCATTTGTTTTCTTAGCATTATATTTGTCTCAGAAATGATTTTTAACCACGGGAGGATGATTGGAATTTGTAATGTTTACAGCAGTTTTTTTTAGTACTGGGTGGGTATGGCATGCCAAGCCTTCCCCTGCCACACTCTCTCCTTCTCTGTCTCAGCTACAATGCCCGTCACCTCTGCAGTCTCACAAACCTTCACAAACCTTCTTCTTTCCAGTCGCCGCCATTTGGGCATCCCTCATCTCAATCCATGCCCCAAACCCAGAAAATGTCTCTCAAAAGTATCACTGGTAGCTTCCAGCTACAAGGGCGGGAAATTTTCGCGCCCGAGTCGCATTATTGGACCAACTTTCACAATTTTGAGGGTTGGTGCCGAAAAGATTCATTCTGGGAGGTTGATTTCTGTGAATTCTTCGGCGTATGAGTCTAATTCAACCTCTGCGAGCGTTCAAAGCACGGTAAGGATGATAAAAGGTTTATTGCTCCGGACCTGTTTGCTTTTTTTACTCTGTGAACGAATTTGAGGGACACGTAGCATGCGTGTTTTCTGTCTCAGGTTCTTAAGCTGTTGCATTTGGTAGTTTCTTTAGGAATTATTCTGGCCATGGATAAGTTTCTGAAGAAGGCTTTTGTGGCTGCTGCCATTAAGTTCCCGAGTGCTTTGTTCGGGATGTTTTGCATATTCACCATTTTGGTGATGCTCGATTCTACTGTCCCAGCTGCCGCCGCTGGCTTGATGAACTTCTTCCAGCCAGCCCTTCTCTTTATCCAGAGGTGGCTGCCTTTGTTCTATGTGCCGTCTTTGGTGGTTCTGCCTCTTGCAGTCAAGGATATTCCAGCTGCCTCGGGTCTTAAGATTGTTTTCATTATAGGTATATATTCTGTCCTTGAAGATTTTTCTTATGTAAAGGGAGCTTTTGTTAGGAGTCACCTTAAAGTGATTATGATTATCTCAAGGCAGGAAAAATAGAGGTAGATGTGTTTTTATTTCTGATGGGTTCCAACTTTGACATGTACCACCAAATGAAAAGTTTTTCACGACTTATTTAATTCACTAATTACCTGCATTTCACTTGTCAACCTTTTATCTTTTGTTTGCAAACACTACTAACTTCAATTTCCAAACTTCTTTGCCATGTTTGCAATGATTAAGTCACTTTCGTTTGTGGTTGTATTGTTCATAAAACACTCCCTAAATGTAGTACTATTTTATATTCTAGTATTGAAATCTAGAATAATATGATATTATGGTAGAATTTTAACTTTCATGAACGTTAAATGGTTGTTATGTTGCTTTCTCATTCTTTTGCAGTTGCGGGTTGGCTGGCTTCACTCTGTGTAGCAGGTTTTACAGCCATATCTGTGAGAAAGATGGTCAACACTGAAATGATACCAGCCGAACCCATGCCAAAGCCTTCTTCGTTTTCTTCGATTGAGTTATGGTCTTGGAGTGGTATATTCATAATATCTTTTGTAACTGCATTGTATTACCCAACTGTACTTGGAACCAATGCCAGGACGTGTTTGCCTTTTCTCCTTGCTTCCACGGTAATAGGCTACATGTTTGGTTCCCGGTAAGAAAAAAGAATTTCTATGAGGTCCACCATCTAGTTCGATTTAGTTTCACATGCAATTTATCATCCTCAATTATTATGACTTGTTATGTGACCTGATTCTGATTTCCAGGCTACCGTCAGGTGTGAAGATGGTCTTTCATCCAATTATTTGCTGCGCATTATCAGCTGATCTGGCAGCATATGCTTATGGGCAACTTTCGCGGTCTGGACTTGATCCAGTTCTAGGTATATCCATAAATTTGGGATAATTACACAGACTACTCTTGAGATTTAGGCTCCATGCATAAACAAACCAGTTATCTTTTAAATTGAAAAGTAATTCCTTGAGGTTTACATTTTCCTTTTGAAAGTGTGAACATGAAGGGAGATCAGCAGTGCAATGGGTATAAACAAAAACATGATATAAGTGTAATATGATATCAAGTATAAGTGCAATATGATATCCACTGGCATCATCTTCATTTCTTTTTCATAACAATTGAAAAGTGCAGTTCAGATAGCACAACCTGAGCAACAGATTGGACATTTAAATGCCAGGAGAACATGATATACATTTTACTATTGATTCTTCAAAAACCTAACGGTGATGCTTCCATTTTTGGCATGATCTGATACCAATTTGAAAATTACTATTTACAGGATACTATCTCACAAAGATCTCATCGAATCCTGGAGCTGGTGACATTTTGATGGGATTTCTTGGATCGGTTATTCTCTCGTTCGCCTTCTCAATGTTTCAACAGAGAAAGGTAATTAAATGTATTCCAATCCCATCTATTTTGAAACTAGTTACCTAAACAGTATGATAGTAGTCTCCACTCTCAGGAAAACTAGCTGAAAGGAAAATATTCCATGAAGCCAAATGAGAAAAAACGAGCCATGCATTATGTAGCTTATATTACAACTCTATCCTGCAATAATCAGTTAGTTATATCTTTCAGCTGGTGAAGAGACATGCTGCTGAGATATTCACCTCTGTGATCCTATCCACGTTGTTCTCTTTGTACTCAACTGCTTTAGTTGGCCGTCTTGTTGGTCTCGAACCATCATTGACCGTATCAATTCTACCTAGATGCATAACTGTGGCTCTTGCTCTCAGCATAGTATCTTTCTTTGAAGGTTGACGACTCATTCAGTCTATAGTTTTCACACCCTATTTGATAGGATAAATAAAACTGAGTTCACAAGTCTAACAAAAATCAAATTATCAAAATTGGGTAGTTGGTTTGGAATAATGTCTTTATTGTTTTTCCCCATTTAGGTGCCAATTCATCTCTTACAGCGGCCGTTGTCGTGGTAACTGGACTAGTTGGGGCCAATTTTGTTCAGACGGCTCTCGACAAATTAGGATTTCGTGATCCTATTGCTCGTGGAATAGCAACTGCATCAAGGTATGAAAATCCGAAATGTTATAAAACGTTTGTGAAGTATGTAGAAAAATCAAGGTCAATACCAAGAAATATGCTTGAGGTATGGCCTAAGTACAAAATTATGTATTTTTTCAAACAATACAGACGCATCATGTATATCTGTTTTCTTATTATAAATTGCACCCTTAGTGGCGGTTATTCGCTCAAAAAAGTCAAGTTTTGAGGTTGTGTTTACAATACCTTAAGGCATCTTTGCAAGATAAATATCATTGTTTTCTTTTAGTAGGTCAAATATTCGTGGTAGTTCTGTAAATTATTCAATAAAATAAACTCCAACCCATTAGAATTTTTATATGCACTTATACCACACCAGCAAAACTACGTGACATTTGTAGCTCCTTTTCTTTGATTTTGTGGGACAAGCTACATATAACATTCTCATATAAAAGCTTAAGAATTACAGTACTCCATCCTGAGGCTTTCTTTAAGATTTTTCTGTCCTATTTTCAGCGCGCATGGGTTAGGTACAGCTGCATTATCGGCAAAAGAACCTGAGGCTCTTCCATTTTGTGCAATTGCGTATGCACTGACTGGGATTTTCGGTTCTGTGATTTGCTCCGTTCCAGTTGTTAGACAAAGCTTGCTAGCTGTAATTTGCTAACAATTAACTATTTGCAGTCGTGCAAATATATAAATCAACGAACGCTGATTTTTCTTCACATTGGTCACAAGTTGCTGTTTCTGCGGAAATTCTGGGCCATATCAATGACAACAATATTTGTGTCTTAGTCGAGTAACTGCTGTTTATATGTATGATCTTCTGCAAATCTTTCTGTCTCTTGCTTTTCTGTTCTTCTTTACTATATGCTAGGCTCAAGGTTGATCATCCACTGGTTAGGGTTGGTAGCCTGTCCATTTGTAATAATTGTCATTCAATCTGATCCTTTAATAGCTCAAGGTAATCGGGTTGAGTTCATCATACCAAAGCACTTAAAGGTGCACTTAAAGGTTGTATTCCTTGTGGCATAACTTTTCTGCACTTTTTTTTTAATGAAAACTAGCACTTACATGAATTACCCTCCCTTAGAGTCGAAATTCAGGTGATATGGAGGATTAAATGATAAAACTTTTTCTTTACCGGTCTATATATGGAGGATGGTACAAGTGATACAATGTGCGCCTTGCAGATGTGCCTATTTGGCTACGTGCATTTACTTTCTGTTACAATTTATCAACCCCTTATTAGAATGTTCCTCCCAACTTTTTTGACGGGTGCAATTTTGGTTAATTTTAAGTTTGTATTTAAATAATATTTAAAATATAATTCAAGTTGACGTAATATAAGAGTAGGACAAATGTTATTGAATTGAATAAGTGCATTGAAGAGCCTTAGGAATGAAATGATAGTGCTGATATGTCAAGGTATGAGCTGAAAGTTGGTCAAAAATTTTCGTAGAGAGCAGAATTCAAGGGTGTGCTTAGATATTGATTTGTTAGAAAGGAATATGATTTGAACTTTACCAAGAATGAAGGCAAGCTCATCACAACACAATTATGATTGGTCTTTGAGGGCCTCAGTTATTGGAGATTTGTCAACATTTCAAATCAAGACTTTGAAGGGCACACACTCACGTGCTTACATGACAGAAAATACACAGACAAACTACAAATATCTATATATATAATTGCTAGCAAAACAATTAATAAATCTCATTTATTTTCCTTCCAAAAGAAGTTACAAAAACATGTTTACTTTATTATCTATTTTTTAATTAAAATCTTAAACAACTCATTAATCAATGAATATTTGATCTATATATATAATTGCTAAAAAAAAAAATTCAAATAACACATTTTTCTATTACAATCTAATATTTTTTCAAAAGGTAACTAAAACTTAATCAATGACTTTTTTTTAATAATGATTAGCTAAAGTAATCATGTTATTAATTATTTTATTATATAATAGTTATTACTAAAGCTAACCAATTATAATTCACTCTAAATGATATATAGAAGTTTAATAAACAGAAAATATTATATTGCAAATTTTCTCTTAAACTATTTATTACTCTTAAGTATTTTTTTAATAAGCTAATTGGCTTTTGTGGTATAACCTAACCTCTTAAAATTTCATAATAATAATAATAATAATAATAATAATAAAAATAATAATTTTTAATATAATTAATAGGTCGAGTTCTCTCAAATTTATAAAAACTACATTTTCCATTTCATTTTTTATAATCAGTTTTACTAAGGACAAAAATTTTTAAAATGTGATACTGTTATCTAACTTATAATTTTAATATTGTATTCATACATATAATTTATAATAATTTAAACATCTATGCATGTACACAGGATCGAATACTAGTTTGAGGAAAAGGATGGTAGATACTTTGAGGGACAATCTTGGTGAGAGTCTGGCGAGGTTGAAAAATAAAATCAAAAGACATTGTGGGTTGATACACGATCTTCATCATTGGTGATTTCATTGAGAGAACTGATGGTGTATCACCATGCCAAACAGAGAACGAATCGATCAATTAGAGAAGAACGTGCGTTTAATCAATGATGACATATAATCAACAAATAAGTGGTAAGCTCGGGTAGTGGTGTCACCGGGGCTTCTTCCAGTCTCCCTTGCTCTTTCAGGGCCTCTTTTACTTCTTTCACTTCTTCGGGCATAATCACGGTCACCGCATTCGCATGCTCCGACTGGCTCGGCAATTTTTCTTTGCTCAATTCAGTCTCGATACCTCCAACCCGTGTAGCCAATTATCCAACTTGCGTCTCGAGACGCTTAATGGAGGCTTCATTGTTCATGGTCCGTTTCTCGTTATTGGCAAAAAACTGGAGGATTTTATCTAGCTTCTCATCTGAGTTCGATAGGCTCGGTCCGATTTCTGGCACTGGCAACCTTAACATTTGTCCTCTTTGCTGCTGATGAGGGACAAAGTTGAGATGAGGCTGCTGTTGAACATTGTTGTAGTTGTCCCAAGAGAAGTTCGGGTGGTTTCGCCACCCGGGGTTATACGTGTTCGAGTAACCGGATGGATTACATAAATTGTCCAAAAGGTTCTCTCTCGAAAAAAAAAAATGAATAATATGTTTGGGAATTATGTTGGTTTTGGAGTGGAAGGAACCGGTTGGTATCGACAACTGGAGGAGTTCATGATTAGGGTTGTGTGATTGAGTTGAGTTGATCTATATTGAGCCACTTAGCTTATATTTATCCTACCCGATCTAAAGAGCCTACGTTACATCCTTTAAAGTCCTCTTGATTCACTGTTTCACGAATTTGATTGTTTTAGAGTAAGAGTTAGACGATAGGCAAACTTATGATTGATTCGACTAACGACCAATTTGAGTGTACCCAGTTGATATTTGCGAAAAAAACTGAGTGAGACACATATGATATACTTTTGTACTCGAGAGTCTATGTTCTTCAAAATAGCCAAGTCAATAGTTGAGGTGTGTTCTTGTGATCATTTGAATTCTTCGTAATTTGAGTGCACCCTTGCTCACTTGTTTGCTTTCTTTTCTTTTTTTTTTGTTCGGGACGAACAAAGGTTTTAGTGTGGGGGAATTGTTTGTCCCATTTTTCTTGCGTTTTTCCTTGTTATTGTTCCTTTCTTTTCCCCCATATTAAGTCTTTTGATTGGTTTTTTCGTTTTGTAGTTTATTTCGTGGTTTGCTCTATGTTGGTCTTTCTTGTGTTTTTTCGATCGTTTTTCGGTTATTCGTCGTCGTTGGTGTGCAGGTTGGAGGATTTACTTTTCATGATAAATGGACCGGGTGAACATGACTAAGGAGAGCATTTCGTTGGCAAACACACAGGAAAAAGAGGAATCAAATTTCGATACCAGACGAGCTCACACGATCCCGAGACACGAAGTTGTGCACGGAAACTAGCTACCAGTTCCACCACCGCGCCTCCCCTCGCGCCGCGACTCCCTTCAGACTGCTGTCCCAGGCCTCCGCGTCGCGCCATGACCCCGCGCCGCGGCAAAAGCCCCTACCGCGCCGCGGCGCTGTACCCTGCCGCGCCGTGCCATCAATTCTCCACGCCGTGATGATTTGCTGGTATATATATGTGAGACAGGGACTTCGGTCAGATATCTTTTGACGCACATAAACATAAAAACCCTATCTCTCGTTCCTCTCACTCGTTTTTATTCTTCTTTCATCGTTTTGAATGTAGAACAAGGATTTAAGTTCGGATTTCATTATTTCTTTCAGATTCAAGCTTGTTTATCAAATTCAACTTTGGGATTTATCAATCGTAAGATTTTCTTTTAACTTAATCGTTAATTATGAATTCTGGGGTTGAGATTGCTTGTGTTGATTATTCGATTATGAGTAGCTAAATCTTTATGCTAGGGATAGGGGATTAATGTTTTGACCTCGATTGCGATTGTGGTGCTCGTTGATTGATCTTCTTATGTGAGTTAATCTTTTATAAGGGCTTATCAATTATCGTATTTGAATATTGAGGATTATAAAGGGTGACACTTCAATTTCCAATTGAGTTCGATGTATTCTTGTATGATGATGGTTGTTCTAATTGATTAGTCGGTATACCACCCTCTAATCTATCTTAATCGACTCTTAGAACCGTAAGGGGAGGAGTCGGTCGAAATAGGCTCGTATAAACTAGGCTTGTTTGTAACTGTATTACATAGGTGTTAAATGACTTGTTAATTTGTCGTTCAAGTTTGTTCTTTTGTTACGAAGAGTTATTGAGGATGAGTACTTGAACGTGCAGGTTATTCAAATCACTTAATCGAACAATCAATTTCCCATTAATTGTAATTCGAACCAAAACAGATATCCCCGACTCCCTAGCTACTTAAATCCTGCTTGTTCTTCGTTGTCGCTTACTATTTTTATTGCTTTAGTTAATTTTAGTAGTAGTTGATAATTAAAATCAAAACCAATCTCTGAATTATTATGTTTAGGAATTTGATTTCTTCTCTTTGTGTTCGAATTTTTTGATTCTACTTCGGTAAAAATATTTACAACAACATCAATCTCCTGCCACCACTCTTGAAAACCTTCCACACCTTTTGAGCTCTGTCACATTTGAACATCAAGTGATCCAGGTCCTCCTCTCCATCCCCACACTAGCAACAAGTTGCATCTCCCAGCATCCCCTTTTGCCTCAAATTAACTTTTGTCCCCACCCAATTATGCCAACACCTCCATAAAAAATTCTTCATCTTAGGTTTGATTTGTAAACTCCATGTTAAAAGTCTGCATAATTAAATCATGATGCCACTCCTTACCTCCTACAGTGATAAGGTTAGGCACTCTACACAACCTCTCTTTCTTCCCAAAACAACAAGTAGGCTTGAAGTGAGGAGAGTTAGGGACCTAGGGTCAGTTCCACAAGTTTATATCCTAACTAGCTTTACAGATTTCATAGCCTCTAACCAGCTCTTCCATATCCAAGAGTCGTTATCCTTTTTTCTAACTTCCAACATATTTTGCTTAAAGATATACCTGCCCTTGACAACTCTGCTCATAAGTCTGTTAGGCTTTGTCAAAACTCTCCACACTGGCTCAAGAATTATGGCTTCATTCAAGTTCACTAAGTCCCTGAACCCCATCCCATTCACTAAGTCCCTGAACCCCATCCCACCCTCTAACTTAGGCTTAGCTATCTTAAACAACTAAGCCCAATGGATCTTGTTACCCCCTCTTCATTTTTTTCCCACCAAAACCCAACAATCTCTCTACATAAATCATTGTAAATACCCACAGGAATCTTTAAACACTGACATAACATAAACTGGTAAAGCACTCAACACAGTCTTGATTAAGATTTCCTTTACTGCCTCTCTGAGAAAATTATTCGTCCAATTGGTGACTCTAGCTATCACACACTCTTTAATACCATTCAGAGTTTGGCATATTTCAAGTTTAACATGATCGGAAGTGCTAACAGAGGAGAAAATACTTGACTTGTGAAAATTCACAGCTTGACAAGACACGACACAATAATGATTCAAGATTTGCGACAACAATCTAGCATGATAAGAGTCTTCTTGGCAAACGATCAATGGGTCATCAACAAAGAATAAATGGGATATACCTGGGGCATGCTTGCTGGCCTAGGCCTCTAAAGGATTTGAGAATACAAAGCTTGATTGATCAAATTAGACAGTGCCTCAAACATAATAACAAAGAGATAAGGGACAAAGACTGCCTAATGCCCCTAGAAGGAACAATATCCCCTAATTTTGTCCACTAAAGTTAAAGTAAAAGGAAGAGGTATTGATACAAGACCAAACCCAGGCTAAAAAAAAGTTCATGAAACCCCATATGTCTACAAACTCTTATTAAGAAACTCCACTCTACCCTGTCATAGGCCCTGGTTATATATAACTTATTAACATCTTGAATTTTAAATGAAAATGAAAGAACTGGCACATTAGGTGATTCTTTTTTATCCATCGTCATAATCTCATAAACATGACGATGGGATGAGAGGTGAATAAATGAAAAAAATAAGAAATGATAAACAGGTAAATAAATGATAAAACTAACAAAGAATAAATCATATTCGAGATTATGTATGAATATAAACTAAAAATATAATAATTAAAGTTGTTGTAATATAAAAATAATAATAATTAGCACCCATAATAGCTTAGTGAACTGGCGTGAGTGGTTAGCTCGGAACATACTTTGAGAGCCAACAATACTCAATTTTAAAAAATGTGATCCGAATTGACTCTTTGGTCAATCAGAATCATGTTAAAACTGCAAATATTGTGGACTCCAAAATCATATAGTTGCTTACTTCAATATTCAACAAATTCTGTAATCAGAACCTTGTACGGGAAGCAAGTTGTAGAAATAAACACCAGCAGCAGCAGTACGAAAGGAACACAATTACCGCCAACGGACAACACAAAAGATATTGAATTATATAAGGAAATCCCTAGCAACAAATACAATATATAACACGAAAAATAATAAGTTGTATGAACCAACCAGCAAAGAATTGCATAAAATGCAGTACAATAAAAAGCATAGGACAGGCAATCCTAACCTGAATGACAAGGTTAAAAGCTTTGTGACGCCAAACGACCCGAGTAGGGTCTTCCTAAATGCAAATGAGAGCTTCTTCTTCTTCTAGCTAATAATGCACCTGATAAATCGCCCCGAATTCAGCCTTCCAGGCCTGATCATCATCATCGGGAAATGATGAACCAATTTGTTGCACCATATCTGAGTCATCTTGGTAAAGTGGTGAGGATCTCAAAGCGGCCTCTGGCAACCTGCTCTCGGCAAGGTACTGCTTCATGGTAATCATCTCCATCTTGTGCTTTCTCTTCAGTTTCTCCATCTTGTGCTTTCTCTTCAGTTTCTCCATCTGTCTCCTCAACTTCTCGTTCTCTTCTTCAATCCCCGAATTCTTGTCCTTGACAACCAAACAAAGTAGAAAAATGAACACCAAGTCAGAAAACATGAATTTACAATATTTCAGGTAGTCATGCAAAGAACCTGTTTTTAAGAATTCCAAATACTCCTCCACAGTTTCATTTTGTCTTGGAATTAAGGAGGTGTTCAGCTGAAAACTTTTCATCTATCTGATGCAGTTGATTCTCTAATTTTATACATTTGGTTCTTTGTAAGACCTCTCTCTGGACCATTTATAATTATTCTTTCATCAACAGCACTTTCATTATATGCTTGTAGACATCATCCTATAGGGGTAGCTTCTTTTCAGATCATTATTATTATTATTATTATTATTATTATTATTATTATTATTANGCAGCCTCCTCAGTTTCTCTCAACCTGACAAGAACCTCCCCAGCACCAGCAGCATGTACGGCCTCAGCAGTATCCTTCAGCTGCACCTTCAGACTCCGATTCTCCTTCCTCAGCAGCTCCCTATCCCTCTCTCTCTCCACCCTCATGGCTGACAACTCAGCAGACAGCGCCTTCGCAAAGCGGGCCCCGCGCCTGCCACTTGCCGCCTTAGAAGCTGCCCTCTTCACATCCGCTACAACCTCCATCACACCCCTATGCTTCTCCACAAGCTCGTTGTAATTCTCCTGGAGCTCCGTGTAGTGCTCGATCATCCTTGCTTGGCCCACGACCGACCTCACCAGGGCATCGTCACGCTCTTCCATTGACTTCTTCTCCAAAGTCAACAGGACTCGATTTCAATCCTCAGCTCTCCATCTCCATCCATTTTTCTCTCTCCCTCTCGAATTCTTCCTTGCTGTTGATGGAATTTTTTCTTTTCAGCATGGATTGTGACAGCAGGGAGGATCGTAGTTTGTCGGACGATGATCTTCTGATGGGTGGTGCTGAGCTGGTGCAGATTGACGAGTTTTGGACCTCTTTGATTTCACATTTTTCTTTTATGAGTTCGAGCGGTAGCTCGTGGTGTTTGTTGATGTCTGCGTGAAGAAGAGCTGGCGAGGGTTGCAAGAAATGTGAGAAAGCAAGATTATGGGAGTGGATTTTGAAATATTACAAAAATTGAGTGTCCTGGGATGGGTTGGTGACCTTAGATTCAGATTTATGGGGTTCATCCTCGTTTATCGAAGGCAGTTGGTTTTTCTGATCGATCTGGCATTTACATTGCTCCAGCTGCAGGAGAAAAGGTAGAAACAGTGAGTTAACTTGCTGTATTTTGGGGCTGGGATAAGCAAATCTTGTTCTCATATGACTTGAAAAGAAAAAGGAAAAGGAAAAATTATTACCTTTCTGTTTAAATGCTCGATTTGAGCTGCTTGGTCCTTACAAATGCTCTTGAGCTCTGTATCTCTTTCGATGGCCAGGACTAAGTCTTTCTCCACGCCCTATAACAGAAAATAAAATTATTAAGAGGTATTTAACCAAGAAAGAAACAACTGCATGGATCTATTGAGATACTTCTGAAATCAAGCAACATTAAGGCAGACCTTCGCCTTGTCAGCTTCATTGCTATCTTTCCCTTGACATCTAATGCAAACAAAAATGGCACCAGATGTTTGATCTGATGTCTGAACTGAGGCATTGGCATTGTCTGCTTTCAGACACGGTTTGAGTGCCAAGTGTTCGAAAGAGAAGGACACGGATGATCTAGAAGGAGTTGAGTTCCTCTTGTGGTAGTCGATGATCTGTAGCCCTCTGTGGAGGCTAGCTGCCAAAGACTCATTATGGCCAGCAAAAATCTTATTAGATCTCTCTTGTTTCTGTGACTGCCGAATCACGTCCACATTTTTCAAAGAACCCACCATGTCACTCTCATGATTCGACGGGAAAACTAGGCTTTTTCTCTGAGAACTTTTTATTTTGGGAGATTCCGATAACATAGGTTCCAGAAGGGTTGTATTAGGGGGAATATCCAGAGCAATGAACTTCTAGAAACTTCAGTTTTATTTTCACTCGAATTGATTTCTTCATTTTCTCCTTCAGAGCAGCTCATATAGTGCTCTCTAGTGAATTCTTTCTCACAGGCTTCTTTACTCGGAATTTTGCTTCGTGTTGTCTTCACGAGAGCCACGTACTGAAGCTTTAATTCCGTAACATCATCCTCATTGATGTGTGATTTTTCTTCAGAAACATTTTCTTCGCCTGGTAATATCAGTGAATTATTGAGGCTCAGTCTCAACTGGTTCAAGCTCGCACGCAAATTTACCCCTTGGAAATATCCATGATTGCTGCTGCTTAAATGGTTGGATGTGCTGGACTTAGCCCTCTTGAGCTCTTCCTGTATTGGTCAAAGTTAGTTATTTGATACAAAAAGGCTTCTTTTGCAAAGTTCTATTTGAAACAAGCAAAGATACCTTCAGCTGCCGAATCTGGTCGCTCAGGTTATTAACATCGTCCTCTGTTATTTCGTTCACCACTGGTTCATTCTTCATGAGTTTTGCTAGCAAGCCGAATCTGAAGGTGCTTAAGGTTTCGCTACTGCTCCTGCTTGTGAAGAGAAATAAATGAGCAGCATCTATAAGAAGAATATTGGTAGTGATCACTTCAAGCTGTAGTATGTTAGTCCCGGCTCGTCTTTATTTGCAGCTAGGATGCACTGTTCGTGTAAGCGAAAATGCTTCCCGACACAAACGGACACTTTTAGGATAGAAGAAGATATTGAACAACTCAAAGTATTGATTATTCAGTTTTTGCTGTGTTCTACAAATACAAAACTGTATCCCTATTTATAAGAACTAAAAACAACTACCTATTGACTTTCCTAGAAATTACTTAAGCTGAAAAATCAACCCATAATGGCTGCTATGAAGGTGCTTTGCAGCTGCAAGGAATTTGCATTGCTATTGCAATGAAGCTGCAAGGAAACAGCAGATTATATATTTTTTACAATTCTTCCCCTAATCCTGCTGCTCTTCCTTGTTTCCTATCATTCCAATCTTGGTCCTCAGCTCCATGAACCGAAGACGGCCGAGTGGCTTGGTAAGGATGTCTGCGAGCTGCCGTCTGGATTCGACAAACTCCAAAACAATATGTCCTTCATCGACACAATCCCTGATGAAGTGAAAACGAGTATCGATGTGCTTGCTCCGGTCATGGAGGACTGGATTTTTTGCAAGGGCAATGGCGGGCTGGTTGTCCACCATCAGAGCTGGTGGACGAGCTTCCTCGCCGGTCAGCTCACCCAGCAACCGACGCAGCCAGACCGCCTGACACGCCGCTGTGGCTGCCGCCACGTACTCCGCCTCGCACGTAGACAACGCCACGATCTTCTGTTTCAGCGACTGCCATGAGATTGGGGCCGATCCAAGGAAGACGAGAACACCGGAGGTGCTCTTCCGCCCATCAATGTCGCCTGCCATGTCTGCATCGCTGAAAACCGTGAGCCGCAGCCCACTTCCACCGCCGGTCTTGGGGAAGATGATGCCATGGTCCACCGTCCCCTTGACATAGCGCAACAGCCGCTTTACCGCAGCCCAATGATCCTCTCGGGGGTCCTCCATGAAGCGGCTGACATAGCCCACGGCAAATGCGATATCTGGCCTCGTGTGGACTAGGTCGCGCAGCCCGCCGACGATACTCCGGTAGAGTGTTGCATCCACCTTCCTCGCGGTGCTGGCTTTCGTCAGCTTCAGCCGCTCCTCCATAGGAGTCGCGCATGACTTGCAGTCAGCCATGCCGCTCCGCTCCAACAGCTTCCCCGCATACGCACGCTGACAGAGAGTGATGGAGTCTCTCCCCTGCTTCACCTCGATGCCGAGGTAGTAGGAAAGCTGCCCGAGATCGCTCATGCGGAAACGAGCTGCCATCTCGCGCTTGAAGCCGTTGATGTCCCCTTCTCGTGCGCCAGTGATGATCAAGTCATCCACATACACGCCGACGACGAGCTCCTCCTTTCCCCTTCGTCGCGTGTAGAGCGCGTGCTATGTCGCGCAGCGCGTGAACCCAAGCGTACCCAGAGTGGCATCGAGCTTGGCGTTCCACGCTCGCGGGGCTTGTCGCAACCCATAGAGTGCCTTCCGCAGCCGTAGCACCTTGTGCTCCTTTCCCTTGACGACGAAGCCCGGGGCTTGCTTGACAAAAACAGTCTCCGCTAGCTCGCCGTTGAGGAAGGCCGATTTCACATCCAGGTGATGAATGCGTCAATCCTTCGTTGCCGCCATGGCTAGCAGTAGGCGAACTGACTCCATGCGTGCCACTGGTGCAAAAACTTCCTCAAAGTCGATGCCCTCTCGCTGAACGAAACCGCGAGCAACGAGGCGCGCCTTGTGCTTGACTATGGCGCCATACTCGTCCCGCTTGACCTTGTAGACCCATTTGAGCCCGATTGGATGACAGCCTGGAGGTGGATCGACGAGCTCCCACGTCTCATTTTCCTCGATCGCCTTCATCTCCTCTAGCATAGCTCGTCTCCAATTGACATCTCCCTCGGCCTGCGCGAAAGTCGATGGCTCCTCTGCGCTGACGAGGAGCAGCTCCTGATCATCGAGTAATCGGCTCGCTAAGCCTGGTACCGCCGAGTTGCCAACAAGGTTTTCCATCCTGCGAAACCTCACCCCCCTCGCCGTCGTGGAAGGCATCCACATACTCGTCGATGTCGCTTGGAGGAGAGGTGAACTCAACTGTCGTCGCTGGAGATGTCCCCTGTCCTGCCGCAGTAGGGGAATGTGGTGAGGGTGTGTGTGCAGCCACTGGTGGAGATTCTTCGCCCGTGCCCGCCATGGCAGGACTTTGCGGCTCATCCGACGCCGCCACAGCTGTTGGACTTGGCACGTCCGCAGCTGGCTCCTCTACTCCCGCATCTCCTCCTCCGTGGATCACCAAATGCTCGATGACGAACGTACCGCCAACGCCACGGGCTTCCCCCGTGCCAGGATTCTCCCAATCCCAGGCCGCCATTTCGTCGAACACCACATCCCGCGAAACCACCACCTTGCCTCCACGTGGATCGTAGAACCGATAGGCCTTGCTTCCCTCCTCGTAGCCTAGGAACACCATCGGTGTGCTCCTATCCTCAAGCTTGGACAGAAAAGGCTTCGCCTTCTTCACATGGCCAATGCACCCAAACGTCCTTAGAAACGAGACGTCGGGCAGCCTACCATGTCAAGCTTTGAATGGCGTCATGCCCTTCAGGGCCTTCGTGGGCGCACGGTTGAGGATGAACACCGCCGTGCTCACAGCCCAGAACTCTGCTGGCAAGCCCTTTGCCTTCAGCATGCTTCGGGCCATGCCTACCACGGTCTGATTCCGCCGTTACACTACGCCGTTTTGTTGCAGTGAGTACGGGCGCAGTGTGATGACGCACCACCCCCTGGTTTGCACAGTACGCGGCGACACCGATGTGAACTCGCTACCGCGATCCGTCCTCAGCACGCAGCCGTTTCCCGGACTCTGCCTCGGCTCGCGCCTAGAACCACTTGATTGCCTCTGTCGCCTGATCCTTACTCGTCAAGAGCTGCAGCCACATGAAACGGCTACAGTCATCCACGAGCAGCAGGAAGTAGCGTCGTCCGCCATGTGTAGCCGGCGTGATCGGCCCGCAAAGGTCGCCGTGGATGAGCTCTAGGACGTCCGCCGCACGATACTTGGCCGCCTTTGGGAAGGGCAGCCGCTTCTGCTTCCCTGCCAGGCAGCTGTCGCACAGCTCGCCTGCGTGCTCGATGTGCGGGAGCCCGCGCACCATCTTCCTCAGCCGGCCGAGTGCGTCGAAGTTCAAATGGTCGAACCGAGCATGCCATAGCCATGGCTCCTCCGGTTGCTCCACCTTCAAGTCGAGGAGGTAGAGGCGGTTCCGGGAACGCTGGACCATGGCCAGCAGCCGCTGTTCTCGGTCCCGGAGCTTTAGCACGCCGTCTTTGACAAGCACCTCGCAGCCGTGCTCGTCCAGTTGCCCGATGCTGACGATGCTTGAACGCAACTGCGGGATATAGTATACATCCGTCAATGTGCGGTGCTCGCCGTTCTGGCACCGGAAGATGACGGTGCCGCGACCTCGAATCTCCACCTTCGAGCCGTCGCCGAACTTCACCGTCCCCATCACGCCGTCATCAAGCTCGGAGAAGGCCTCCTTGGAGCCGATCATGTGGTTGCTGGCGCCGGAGTCTAGGTACCACCTCTGCTCCATGCCACCGCCCATTCGTCCAAGGTGGACTTGGGCACTTGACTCGTGGAGGTGAACGGCCTGCAGTGACTTTCCCTGCTCTGTAGCCGTCGCCTTGACTTCCTCCAACTCTGGCTCGACGTCGTGCAACTTACAGGTCGTTGCCATGAGAAGAGCTGGCTCCTCGTCATCCACCTGCGCGAGGTGTGCCTCCCTCTTCTCCTTCTTGGGATTCTTGCAATCCCGGGCCCAGTGCCCTGTCTTTCCACAGCGTCGGCAAGTGTCCTTGTCAATCGGAAGCGCGTTGTCGCCGTCCTTCTTCTTCTTCTGCGTGGCCTTGCCACGACGCTTGCTGTAGCCGCCACGGTTGGAGGAGCCTTCCGCGGGCCGTCGCTCGCGCATACGAGCTGCCCATTCTTCCTCAGTCAGTAGTAACTTGCTGCTGGTAGTTATCGTCGCCGTCTCCACACGGTCATCGACCGCCCGTAAGCGCCCAATCACATCCTCAATCGTGAGGGTGGACATGTCGATCAACGTCTCGATGGAGAGCGCGATCTGGGCGTACTTAGGTGGCACGACACGCAAGTATTTCGCGACCGCCTCCTCGTCGGTGATGGTGACGCTGTGCGCCGTCAGTTGACTGACGAGCGACTGCAGACGGAGCGAGAAATCCTCCACTGCCTCGCCGTCACGGAACACCAGCGCCTCATACTCCCGCCGCAGCTGTTGCGCCTTCGCCTTCTTTGCGCGATCAGACCCGATGCGCATGGCCTTGAGGGCGTCCTAAGCAGCCTTTGCGGAGTCCTTTACGCCCAGCGACTCCACGTACTCGTGAGTCACAGCGGATAGAATCGCTTCCATCGCTGCACAGTCCTCTTCTTCATACTCGGTGCCTTCTTCGATGGCCCGCCATAGCTTGCGCGCACGCAACTTGACCTTCATCAGCACCTCCCACTCGCCATAGTTTGTGCGTGTGAGGACCGGCCAGTTGGCCCCGCCAACGTCCCGTACGGTCTTGTGGATGATGACCTCCTGGCGCGGTGAAGCGTGTGCACCGCTCCCTTGCACCATCGACGCAGCATCTTGGCTTGCCATGGCTCTGATACCACTTGTTAGTCCCGGCTCGTCTTTATTTGCAGCTAGGATGCACTGTTCGTGTAAGCGAAAATGCTTCCCGACACAAACGGACACTTTTAGGATAGAAGAAGATATTGAACAACTCAAAGTATTGATTATTCAGTTTTTGCTGTGTTTTACAAATACAAAACTGTATCCCTATTTATAAGAACTAAAAACAACTACCTATTGACTTTCCTAGAAATTACTTAAGCTGAAAAATCAGCCCATAATGGCTGCTATGAAGGTGCTTTGCAGCTGCAAGGAATTTGCATTGCTATTGCAATGAAGCTGCAAGGAAATAACAGATTATATATTTTTTACATAGTACAAAATATATTATGCTAAAAAACTTATTAGTGATCCCATTCCAGAAAAGGAGAATTCTCCTAGGCTTCTTCTTGTTTTCACTTTTGAAAATAAAAGAGTAAAGAAAGTACAAACTATAAATGTTTTCGCTAATAACAAAGGCACGACATGACCAGTACAACCTCTGAGTTTATTTGCCTGCACTTATTCACATAACAGTTTTCATCTAAAATATCCGTTGTACCAAGCATAAAAAATGAGAGAAGGCATACTTATTGTCTGGATAAATGGTGCATATAATGGAGAGCTTAAAAATGAGAGAAGGCATACTTCTTGTCTGGAGAAACTGTGCATATAATGGAGAGCTTAGCGTTGCCACCAAATGATTCTCTCAACAAATGAATCAGACGAGAGCTTCTGTACGGAACTCCTTCAGATTTCCCTGATTGACTTTCTTTTGCAAGAATATTTACTAAAAGCCTGAAGGAGGTACAGGTTTATGTGTTAATTAGACTCTTTGCAAAAGCAAAGTAACAGCATTATGATCATATACAGAGCCAAGTAAGCAAAATACTATAAGCACAGTACGATGCACAACATTAGATAAAATTAGCTACCCTGAAAATTTTTGAGAGGTGGAAGAGTGTGAAAGAAAAAGTTATAAAAAATGATAAAGGCGTGGAGAACACTTGCGAGGACATACCCAATCTTTGATGTTGACTTATTAATATATTTTCCTTCTTTCACATGTTGTCTACAAGCATCTGCATGTATGTTTCTCTCGAATCCAGCCAGATCAACTAGACTGATCCGACTAATCTTTGAAATACCAAAGCACTTTGATGAGGAATCCTGCAGGATAATATTTAGAAGAAAAGACAAATTGTAAAACTAAGATTGCAGAGTATTCAACAAGTATCATCAACCTAGGATTTTCTTTGGCGAATATTAGCTTCAGTATACACCACCAAACAATATAACCATCTCCAAGGGGATGAAACTCATCAGTGAAAAAAACTCAGTATCAAAACTCCTATGATATTCTTCTTTCTATTTTTCTTTTCTTCTTGATTTCTGTATTATGTGCTTACCAGCTTTGGTATACAGCACATCCGTTTCTGAATATGTGGGTTAAAACAAAAATAAGAATACATCTAAATTATGCATTACTGATTATTTATACCTTGCACCAGGACTCAATTTTGCATGTGAACATAATATGGGACCTTGAGCTCTTGGAGTTGATTCTTGTTGTTCCAGTTTTTCTATTTGAGAGGCCCTGGAAAGACAATGCCGTATTTAGAACAATACCCTCTTAACAAAAGACAAACATGTTAAATAAGACAATGCTTACTCCTTTTCCGTACCTTAATTAAAATTTGAGTGACATCTTCATAGCATGATACATATTCTTCAGATAAATGTTCCACATAAAATCCATTTTTTATGTCATCCGTTATCTGAAACGGTTGAACCAAAAACAATATCAGCATAAAAAATAATTCGACGGACTGCCCGTAAATTGTAAATAAATTATTCTCTGAAAGGAGAAGTAAAAAGTTAACCTCTAGACCCCGTTGAGTTGGATCAAGTAAGTCACTGATCTTCTCATCATATACCTGCACGATCAATACATCCATGATTAAGTCGTTCATTTGAAATTGAAAAAAGACCCCAGCGCTTTCTCAATTAAGACAGAATCACCTCAAGGAATGAACACCGGCACTGATAATTCATCATTTTGCAATCAGGATTCTCTTGCTCCTGTGTAATCATAATTGAAGCAATTAGAACACACCACGAATTTTCATATCAAAATCTCACAATTTATATGACTATACCAATCATATAATCATCAACCTTTTGAATCCCTGAGAAAAGCTTCTGGAAAATGCGTGGAACGATACCCTGAGGACCATTGACTACTGGACTTCCAACCATTGCATTTGGAGGTCCCCACATAGTGTATGTCTTCCCACTACCGGTCTAATATTTACAAACATGAAATTACTTCAAAATCCAAAATACATAATTACAAATGTTTGTGAAATTTAAATCAAGGTATGCCAAATTACCTGTCCATAAGCCATGATTGTTGTATTGTAACCAGAAAGTGCATCCTTAACCAAGGGTGCACCTACTAAATGGTAAACATCCTCCTACAATCATACATCGACTTAGCAGATCAATTTGATACTCGTGCATATCCAATTACAACATAAAAAGAGAAAAACTCGAATTCTGATTGATATACAAATCGAAAATTTCTTATCAAATTAGAAAAGGATTTCTGAGAATGCAATGAAAAGATTCTGCTAAAGGTTCCAAACCTGGGTTGAATCCGATTCAAATATTGAATCAAATCCGTAATTTCTGTCAGCAACACAAAGAGAAGTCTTTGCCACTTTACTGACCGAATTTTCTCCAATTCCAAGTTTATTGGCTGGTCCAATCCTCACCACAACCTATCCAGAAAAAACAGAAATCGGGAATATAATAAAAAAGCAGCGCGAGAGCAATAACAAACCCTAAAATCTGTAAGCTTCAACAAAAAGAATTACACGGGTACCTTGACTGGAGGATCCGGAGCTTCAGGTGGTTCCTCTTGAACCACAGATGCAGCATTTTCTTCCATAATATGATTAACATTAACCATAGAAAAGGCGACTTTTTGGGTAACAAGATCGAACTACAAAGTGGAGGATCGCGAATTTGAATGTTGGGATCAATTGGCGCTATGTTCTCACCGTCAGATCTCAGTTTCGTACTGTGATTGGAAAACGGCTTCTGCTTAGCTTTCGGGAGAAAACTCTTGAACGGCACTGAGGAGGAGATGCTTTCCAAGAATCTGCCGCTTTCCGAGATTCTGGAATTGGGCCTCGCCATGACTGGACTCAACAGATCACCAACTGTTTGATTTGAAGTTTAATTGTGAGATTATGAGAAAGACGGAGGAGAGAGACTAAAGAGACGTTATAAACAATTTGTACTATCCGACCGTTGGTGCAATATCTCACACTAATAAGGCATTTAAAAAAATTTAAACTTGGTGTGTAATGACAAAAAGGGTATTCACTTGATTGTTCTGTTTTTTTCCCAAAGTGCCTGTAACAATCTGGGATGGACGGGCATCATGAGATGCCAATTTAATGTAGTACCTATCCATTTCCATAGGTATTAGAATGTAACATTCTAAATTTAGGCCGAATTTTATTCTGCATGCTAAAATCGGAAATTTTTATTACTTTCCATTTTCAAGTCATTTGATATAAGTATTAAGGTATAAATATATTTTATCATATTGACTAAATATTTTTTATATTATTTATGATTCTCACCTTTTTCATTTTTTTTAAGTAAAATATTTATTGAGTTTTTTATTTATTTAGGATTTAAATTGAATATTCATATCTTGTTAACCAAGATTTAATATTTAATTTTACACTCACTTATGTAAATAGCATATCTAATTAACTTTTTTCAGTAATTTTTATTTGACATTATATCTTATATACAGATGAATATTAATATTTTTTTACTTCAAATAAGTATATAAATATCAATATCAATGTAAGAAATAACTAATCTAAAAGTAACTTATAAATAAATTAGAAATATATATTATGTTAAAAATTTTGAAAAATATATTTTTTTATAAAAAAAAACTCTTAATTTAAAGCATGCTGAACCTAATTGGCATACTCGCATGCTTCGGGATCCTATGTGACAAATTTTTCATGCTTTTTCATTTGGCTTGGATGGATTTTAATTTACTCTCAATCCAAAAATAACTAGGTTCGGAATAGACATAAATCAATATTTATGATCCTTTTAAGATAATTAATTATGTTATTATTTTTATTCTAGACGTGGTTTATGAGACATAATTTTTTTCTTCAATCTTTCTTTTCTCCCCATCTTTCTTTTAAAATTATAAAAAAAAATGATTACTTAAACTATAAGTAGATTTTAAAGTTAACAAATTTTTTATTTATTAACAATTTTTTATACATACTATAATCATGGATGAGCTTCGATTTGACACCTATATTGTACAATTAAAATAATAAATATTTATGTTTATTTTTGTAATAAAAATTAAATTACCTGTTAATATTAATTAAAAAATAAAATTATTTATATTAATTTAAACACAAAGTTGTTAAATGATATAATTTAAAAAAGAATATCATAATATAATATGGTAAGCCATATAAGAGATGAATGTCATTTTAAATAAAAATAGTAATATAGTTATTCAACAAAGTATTTAAAATTAAAACCGTATTATTATTATAATTATAATAATTATTATTATTATTAATTTTAAATATAAAAATCTTAACAAACACATGTGTAATATACATATATTGTACTAGTAGTATAATATGGAGTATAGATAGATACACAAATAGACAGAGAGACATGAAGGTTTTGAGAGATAGATAGATTATTGTTGTTGTATTCCATCTTTAGACTTATTAGATTGTTACACCTCTCCTGTCAGATTTGTAAAATATTGAGTATTTATAGCCAACCAAATCTTATTTGCATATATACCTAAAAGATATGATTTAATTAGATCTTTACCATACTGTAAGTTTCCAAAACGCAAACGTCTTCTCCCCTTAATTAGCGGGTGATAACCGTTAAGGGTGTTCACGGTCCGGTTTTAACCGAAAAAAACCGTCAATCCGGACCGCGGATCGGTTAAATGGTCAGTTAAAAAAATTTTAAACAATCCGGTGGCTAATTTTTTTAAAAATCCGGAATAACCGGTCCAGTTAACGGATTACCTGCGGCAAACCGCCGGTTTTATAGCCAACCAAAACTTATTTGCATATATACCTAAAAGATATGATTTAATTAGATCTTTACCATACTGTAAGTTTCCAAAACGCAAACGTCTTCTCCCCTTAATTAGCGGGTGATAACCGTTAAGGGTGTTCACGGTCCGGTTTTAACCGAAAAAAACCGTCAATCCGGACCGCGGATCGGTTAAATGGTCAGTTAAAAAAATTTTAAACAATCCGGTGGCTAATTTTTTTAAAAATCCGGAATAACCGGTCCAGTTAACGGATTACCTGCGGCAAACCGCCGGTTTTATAGCCAACCAAAACTTATTTGCATATATACCTAAAAGATATGATTTAATTAGATCTTTACCATACTGTAAGTTTCCAAAACGCAAACGTCTTCTCCCCTTAATTAGCGGGTGATAACCGTTGCACATATTAAAATTAAAAAAAAAAAAAAAACAAACTAACTAACTAACTACTAGGTGAATATGGTAATGTTACATATCCAATATAATATCATATTTTACTAAAAAAACAGAAAGCCAACAATTTTTTAGACAACGAAATATAAAGGTAGACCTGATTTTTGAATAGGCAGTATTATTGCTTTTATATTTAGTATATGTTCAGCTTTTTTTGAATAGACAATATATATTGCGTTTATAGTCTGTATATATTTAGGGATTAATTATCTCATATTTGTTTATGTCAAGATTATATGACTTTAACGAAAATAATCATTTGTGTTTGATTTTGTTTATTTCTGGTTTATGTTAAGTAAATAAAAATATACAACACACATATACATAAAATATACACTCGAGATTCTCGTAATTCAAGCCAGCGACAGATCGGGACACACATATACATAAAATATACTTTAAATATACACTCGAGTCCCAATCGTTTCTCAAAATCGATTTCAGAACCCACATATACATAAAATATACATAAGATATATACTCGAGATTCTCGGAATTCAAGCCAGTGACAGATCGGGACACACATATACATAAAATATACTCTCGATGTTCAATCGTTTCTCATTTCAGAACCCAGATTAAGACCCGAAACCACGGCCATGACCCTCTTTTCTGCATCCGCAAGCTCATAACAAAGCTTCTCGGCCTCGTCGGCCATCAAGAGAAAGGAGTGGGAGGAGCAGCTCGAATGGGGCGGCGACAATCGTGTACCTCGCGAAGAGGAATTGCCCGTGCTGAAGGCTGTTGAAAAGAGGAAATACGACGCGGCGGAGATTAGGCGATCGACGGCGGGGATGGGTGTGTGGGCGGAGGTGGAAGTCTTTGGGATAGAGTGGCAGTGAAGGGGCGGTAGTGGGAGGTTAGATTTGAATCGCCCGTACTAGAGGTCATTGCATTGCGGGAGGAAATGCGACGCGGTGGAGATTGGGCGATCAGGGGATTGGTGGGTGGGCGGAGGCGGAGCTGCGAAGGGGAGGTGGGGGGAGGAGAATAGCGGCGGATTTGTAGAAGAAGAAGATGATGATGATGATGATGATGATGAGAGAGAGAGAGAGAATAAGAAGAATAGATAGGGAGAGAGAGAGAGAGAGAGAGAGAGAGAGAGAGAGAGAGAGAGAGAGAAAGTGTTTAAATATAGCTCCCATTAAATCTGTTTTTACAATAATTAAAAACAATTATTCGTTGCTCAATAATCTAGTATGTTTGTAAATTAATATGATGATTTTAATTAATTTGCAAATAAATATATATGAGTTTTAAATATGTAATAAAAATGTTATATATTGTGTAGTGGAGGAGGTAATTTCCTCTTACTTTTATTCCATGACTGTTATTCCTATTGATATTGCGATTCATTCAATTCATGGACCTTTTTAGGCTCACAAATGTTAAACTGTTGAAAAACCAGAACTGGCAATTAAAATCAATACAACGAAATTTCATCACAAAACACCGACTTGCAGAAAGCAAAATAAAAGTACTGTACGGTGGAATCATAGTGTTCATCCCCAACATTCATGGGAAGTTGGTCAACTATCCTGAACCACGTTCTTGGTGATTTTGCGGTAAAACCATAGTCACCGAATAGCAAACGCCTTAGACATCTGCTCCAGGCAACCATGAATATGAAAGTATGTTCATCTATTGATAGAGTATGATTCTATAACCAATAGACAACCTAAGAAAAGACTTATTTATCGCTCTCTCACTGTTAGGTAGTCATATTTTTTTTTCTACGAAAAATACATTCTCATACTATAAAATATCATATTTTTAATTATACTGAATTTTAAAGTATAATATTTAAGCGTAAGAGCATGCATATCTCTTAATATAATATTTTGTCTAATCATTAGGCAACCAAACAGAAAACTTACTGCACTAACACACAAATATTGTTGTTAGAAGCCTAGCTATTGGTCATACTTTCTTCTAAAAAATACACTCATACTGTAAAATATTATATTTTTGTTTATGTTATGTTTTGAAATATAACGTTTGAATATAAAAGTTTGCACCTATGTTAAATAGTACGATTCTCTAACTAACTATTAGACAGTCTAACAAAAGACCCAACTCCTCTAAAGTCTAGGCAAACACTTACTATACCGTATAATTAACTCATCTCAATCACCACCACTACTACATCATTCATGAAAAATAACGGAAAGTGAAAATGGAAAAGGAAATTGTTTCTCACACTAATTCTTTATCATGCACAAGAAATTGTATATACCTTGTCCGATACAAAAGCTCCAAAAGAATGAATCATCGCACTGGAATTTTTTTATTGAAGGGAAACCTAAGAGGGCACCCCTCTTATAATAATTCACACTAGAAAAACAAACAGAAACTCTCACATAGAGTCTGAGACATAAGAATCCCAGACTCAAAAGAAACGAAAAGGGAAAATGTCTTTAGAGCCGACCAACAGGGATGGAAAGAAAAAACGAATACAAAAAGAACCTCTATCTTCCAAATCAACCAGTAGTACCGTCTTGGGTTTAAAGTCGCACAACAAATATCGTGAAGTCTGATTTACATCTCAATCAAAATGCTGAAAAACGAACCTTAAGTTACACCATGAAACCTTGAAATCTTCGGCAAAATCCCTGGAAACTGCTCTCACTGAGCATGTACACTTTGCACCAAAAAAGACCCTATTAGCTCTGTGACGACATCAATTTATGATAAGCTGAGATATAATATATCTAGGGATATGAACGGAATTCACAAACCACGTGCTCTTTTTTAACTTTCATCTCCTACATCCTCAGAATACTGCAAGTTCCTATGTTGCAATTCCTGAAAGAAAATCACGGTAATAAGTTAACTTGGCAATTCTGTTGACTCTATGGATATTAAATATGTAAATGATTACATCCACAAAGATCAAAGATGAATCAATTTCAAGTTCCTATGTTGCAATTCCTGAAAGAAAATCACGGTAATAAGTTAACTTGGCAATTCTGTTGACTCTATGGATATTAAATATGTAAATGATTACATCCACAAAGATCAAAGATGAATCATTTTTTTTTCTCCCTAGTCTGTTTCAAGTTTTTCCATAAAAAAAATTAGTTCAAAGAATCCATATTTTCTATTTCGCAGATAATGAAACTATAATATGTAATATGCATGGTTTTCCTCACGACGTGGTATAGTAAATACTAATCATTTTCAGTTGTTTTTTGAAACCTATTAAACAGACTTCAAATCATAATATCAGAAAACATTGATGTGGAGTCATCTATACGTCATGGAAAGGGAGAGCACAAAAGAACTTAGACCGATCTAAAAAAACCACTTTTGTCTCAAACAACTGTAGTTATAGTGCAGTACAAGGAGTTTTTTACTTCATGGATCTACAGTACAAGGAGTCTTTTACTTCATGGATCTACAAGAATAACAAGGCAAACACAAGTTTTATGACAAACAAAGATAATTTCCACGAATCAATCAACTACCTTAAACGTGAACAATGTAAGCAGTTTGCACGACAAACTTGTCATTACGATGGATTAAAAAAAATGTAAATGAAACAATGAACAACTAGTGATAACAAACACTCTCAAAGGAGATCATATGAGAGTATATTACACCATTTGTATCAACTTTATCTGTCAGCATCTATCATTATATTAAAAGATTAACCTTTTTACAAATTTAGAAACTTTTTCCCGCCAAAATCATTAAATATATCCTACATATAGTAATTGTCGGACAAATCTGAATAGGCACAAAAATCGACTCATTAATTGTGTAAAGATTTATTTCTCTTTTTCCTATTTTTTAGTTTATCAAAATCGTTGTTTGACAATAAATATTTGTTTTTCTTTTTCCTATTTTTAGTATATATCTACACGATCTTATCTCTTCTGTTACAAAATCTCATTCCATACGTCTCACGTGTTTAAAAAATCTCATCCTTTATCTATACAGATTTGAAAAAGTAAAATAAAATAGAAACCAATTCATAATTACTACTAGAAATCCATTATCTACAAGTATTTTCATCGGTCTAATTACTAATATTTTTATAAATATAATAAGCTAACCATACAAAAAAGTATAATAATAATTTTGAAATGGTGTGTAATCAAAATTTTTTATATTCTCTTATACAAAATAATTTTACATTGTTTGACCTCGAATCTTTAATTTATAATTACTAAGTATTGTTTATCCTCCTCTTTAATTTATAATTATTATTTTTCTTCCTCTTTTTAAATAGGATCAATAGTAGTTTCCACTTCCGCCATTAAGTGACTCAAACTCGAGGTCTATTTATAATATTGTTAATTTAATATTGTTCCCGTGCATCATAAGAGATACACACTAGTTCTTAGATCACACGAGTTCAGGTCAAAGAAACATAGATCAATCCAGGTTTAGCAAAACTACGGGAATCACAATCTTAAAGTGAACCAATGTCTTAAATAGAAACTGCATTTTTCACACATTCCAAGAACGCGGTAGAAAGAAACCAAGAGATGGTAAGAACATGACTAAAATTTCAGCATAAACAAACAATGAAGTACATAATGTTGTAGTCTATTATTTTTTTGCTTGGTCAGACAGTCTTGAGATCAAGTATCTTGTGTGACCTCAAGTAGAAAACATAGGAAGATAAAAAAGTATAATTGTTTCATGCTTAGCTCAGTACTAGTCTCCAGTTTAAATTATTAAAAAATGAGAGTACATTTCAATAGGATACTGCAACCAGTCACCTTATGCATCAAGCATGTTTATGAAAATTGCCAATAAGATCTATACAATATATCTTCACAGAAACTAGAATGAGGAGTTCACAACGTCAACTTATAAACTTTTGATGCACCCATGAGTGACAATAAATAAAGCACTTTGGTATTATTATGTTTCTTCTAAGATATCCAATGTGATTATGTACACACATTTA